TAAACCTAGATTTTGAAAAAATCTTTCTGCCCCTTTCTGAAAATGAAGACACTACTTTCCTGTCACTATTTCCATGGCTTTCCTCTCGTTCTCCATGATTTTTCAGAGATCACCAACATTACCTCAGTTATCTCATTGGCAGGGTTGTTCAGTACCTTGTCATACAGACCATCAAGCCGGTTAACTTGAGTTCTTTGAATTTATCCAGTCTTTTAAGCTTTCCTCATTTATCTTGGGTTTTAATTCCTTTTTAACCATTTTTGTTCTAGCTTTTCCAGCCTAAAGGATCAGAAAACAGAAACAAAATGAGAATTCAGTAATTTAACCTTCTAATCATTGTTTCTTATCATCCGGACACTCTATCCTTGGCCTTAATCATCTTTTTTGCTCCTAATATAGCTTAAGAAAATCTCTGTACTTTGAAATTCATCCCTCTTATACATAGCTGGAGCTTTTTCAATAATAGTCTTGTCTATATTTCATATATGAAACTACAAGGACCTGAATCCTAATTTCTTTTCTAATTTCCTTTTTATATGATGAATTACAATGCATTTCTTTTATAAAGTACACATTATAGTGCTTTGTACCCATTGGTACTCCTAGAAGGTTGTTAGTTCAGTCTGGTATCATTTAGATAACTATAGACATCAATTAAATGATATTCCCTTGGTCTGAAAGAGTTACTGAATGTACTTTCTTAAGTACCTGGCTTCCTACCAGAGTGATTTAAACATGGAAGATAATCGGGTTTATTGTTTTTTATTGTTATCATTTTATCATTATTGTTATTACTGCTTAACATCTCTCTAAATTTGAAAAAAAATGTACTGACTTTTTGGGAGGCGGGTAGATGGAGATGGAGGGGGTGGCCATTCATCCACAGCCGACATGCCATTAGCCTTGCTAGTAGCATTTAATTGATTTTCAAGCAGACATTGGTTTTTCATGATAATGGGAGATAATAATTCATATTTAAATAGTGCTTTAAAATACAGAGGGCTTTCCTCTCAACAACCCTGTGAGGAAGTTAGGACAAATAGTGTTACTATCATTTTATGTAATTTTATAGAAGAGAAGACTTTTGGGTTAAAGATACAATGACTTTTGGGGACAGTGGAAAGAACACTGTAGTCAGAGGACCTGGGTAAAAGTCCTACTTCTCACATCTATTGTTTTCATTAATGTGTGACTTGGGTCAAGTCACTTAACTTCCTTGGGCCTCAGTTTCCATATCTGCAGTATGAGGGAGCTGAACCAGATAGCTTGTAAGATTCTTTCTAAGCCCTAGATGTACATTCTTTTGCTTTCCTGGCAAAGGTAGTAAACAGCAGAGCTGGTTCTCATTAGAACCCAGGTCTGCTGACTTTGGGTCTAAAGCTCTGCTTTATTCCTAACATCTGTTAACCTATTGCTTCCAGCTTTTCATCCCCATCAGTCATTTCAATTAAACTTGTGGACTAGGAATCTAAAGACCCCGGTTCTAATTTAGACCCTGCTCCTGATTAGCTGTGAGACCTTGGGCAAGTCTCTTAACCATTCTGCCCTGAGTTTCCTTTCTGTAAAATGAGGGTATTGGACTGAATATTTCCTAAGATCCCTTCTAGCTCTAATACCTGTTAGAGTCTAAGTTTGACTGATTTAAGTTTCTCATTCTGGTCCTTACCCTCCACCAAATATGATACAAGATAGGGAAAGGAGGAAAAAAAATAGGCAGTTTGAGAAAGAAGGTACGTAGGGTAAAACTTTGATTAACACAAGCCTTAATACAAGATACTTTGTCCAGGACTAACCAGTTTTTCAAGGAAAACAACTTTGTAAATTATTTGAATCAATGCTGCTGGGATTTATAGATGTTGAGAAAAATACCTTCCCACACAGCTTCCCCATCCAGTTGAAGGCAAAGTCAACCCCAAGCAAAACTGTGAAGTCTACCAGCTGCCTCTGATTGTACACCCTTCTGCACTATCTGCCTCCTCCTTCTATGCCCCCCAGCTTCAGGAGCCCAAGCCCCCTTATTGATCAGTCGGTTGTATTTTGACTGGAAATCAGTCACAGTGAAGTATAGCCTCAACGAGGCATTTTTTATTTCTCCTTGCGGAATGGAAGGCTACATCCCATCCTGAAGGCATAACAAGACCTCATCGAGGACATAAACAAATTGCTAATTTGTTTTGCCAGGGCAGACATTGATAACCTAGAATGAACTTTTAACAAAAAAAAACCCCAAAACAAAAAACAAACAACCACCACCAAAAACCCAAAACCACCAACAACAAACTTTTTATTGTATTTCAATAACATTGTTTTTTTTTTCTGTAACCTGTATTTTATTCCTTTAAAAACTTTAAGAAGAAGCTTCTTAAGACTTCCAGCTTCCAGAGGGGTCCATGATACCAAAAAAGCTAAAAATCTCTAGGCTAGGGGGACTCCTGAAATGACCTGATTCTGATGTTCACAGGCACAAGGACATGAGGGCACCTGTTGCCAATATCAACCTTCCTTCACTCCCATACAGTGTGAACCCCTCTCTCCCTTGGCAACCCCACCCCCTAACACACTGTCTCCTGGGCCTTGAACAGTGATCCTTCTATGTAACACAACCACCTCTCTCTTCTTTCCACCAGAGCTCTTTTTGTCTGGGCCCCCAGCCAACTCTAAAGCTATGATTCCATGATCTCCGATCAACCAGTTACAGGTTTCCAACTTTTCAACTTTGCCTTCTCTGGGATCAGCGAATAACTCTTCGTTATTTTTTTTTCTGATGGCTTTTATTTCGTGGCTGATATCTGCAGGAGAGGCAGGGTGGTCTAATGGATAAAAAACTGGCCTTGGAGTTAGGATGACTTGGGTTCAAGTTCCATCTCTGCACACATACCGGTTTTATGATGCTGGACATGCCGTTTAACCCCTTAATGTCTCCACCTTAGTGCCCCCAAGCAACACTCAGAGTGGCAGAGCAGATGAAGATCTGTAGTGGTAAAGAAAATTTTCACATGGAAGGTTCCTTGTAACAATGAAATCACAGCTCCAGTCTTACCCAGCTCCCCTAATCCCTCTTTCCCAAAGCCTGAAACTACAGAGAAGTGTACATGAGTTTAAAATCACAAAAGATGGGTCGAGTTGTAGAGCCAAAAGAAGTCTTTATAGCCCTATTCTGTAGTAACAGTATAAAAATGAGTTTGACCCAGCCCTGGTCTACTCCTGCTACAGACTCATTCCCGTCAGGGAAGTTGGCTACTAAGCCTTGAAGTAGGTTTGGGTCGTAAATACCACTGAAAGTCCTAGATCATTTTAGAATATTTGTCTTTAGAATACTATTGTTACTATATAAATTATTCTCCTGGTTCTGTTTACTTCCCTCTTCATCAGATCATACAAGTCTTCCCTTTTAAAAAAATTTAATATATATTATGTTTTCACCAATCACATGTTAAAACTTTTTTTTTTTTAATTTTGAGTTCTAAATTCTATCCCTCTCTTCCCCCCTCCTCCTTCCCTGAGCTGGTAAGCAGTCAAATAGAGGTGATACATGTGCAGTCTTGTAAAACATTTCTGTATTAGTCATTTTGTGTAAGAAGACTCAAATAAAAGATAAATAAAGTGAAAAATAGTGTACTTCAGTCTATAGTCAAACAATACCAGGGGCTATCTCCAGTCGTCCTGGTCTGTATCGTGCCGCTGTATCTGCCACTAGACCCAGAGGGCTCTGGAGGAGAAAGTGAGGCTGATGACTTTGCACAGCCCTCCTTCGCTTCAGTCCAGTTCACTTGCATGTCATGGTGTCATCACCTCCCTGATGTCATGGTCCTTTTTGAGAACAAAGGACAAACAACAGCATGTCTTCTGGTTAGAGAGTGGGGGAAAGTTTTATCTCCAGTGCTTGCACATTATAGGTGCTTACTAAACATTTGTTAAATTGAATTAAATACTTAATGTGCTAAGTATTATTAGTATACTAATACTTAATATACTAAAGTAAATTCCAGTTTATCTTGGATGAATCATCTGCAGATTTACTCTAGGGAAATGATATTTTCCAGGTCTTTGTCACAACAGATTTACAGTAGAAAAGTACTTAATCAATAAGCACTTATTAAATATCTAATATGCGCCATGGAAGTAACCGTCTACTACTAAACACTTCCTACCAACAATAGTGTGTTGTATATGTCCCTTCCTTACCAACTACTTCCAGGACTTGGAACCTTCCCTTCCCAGTCATAAGTCTGCCAGAAGGTCCACCCCCATCAGCCTTTCCCTCCACTTCCTTTTCTGCCACAATATGTCCTCTCCACCACTTTTCTCTAACTTAACCCAACTCCAGTTTTTTCCTTCCTTTGCTTTAAGGTTCCCAGATATCTCTTTTCTGCTTTGGATGTTATTTTAGTTGGTATTTAATGAACTTCCGTGCCATTTGCCTGACCCCTCCATGCCTCAGTAGCCAACACCTTATAACATATTTCTGTGATTCATTATTTCTTATCCTGATCCTGAAGTTTCTGATAAAATGTTGCTGGAATTTATTTATTCATTTCATTAATTTATTCCATTTTTCATTCATTCTCACATTTATTCCATTTAAAATTTTTATTTAGCTAATTTACAGGCTATATAATTAGACTCACTCAGGTTTTATTTTAGATATATACCTTTCACTCTGTGTCCCTACTGGAAGGATAGTACCATATGGTCCTTCAAGTCCAGCTTTCTTGTAGAGGGCAATGTACCATGGGTAGATCCCCTCCTCTCTGAAATCACTTGTCCTTTATATGGTGTTTAGGAACAAGCCCTAGAGAAACCACATTAGTGAGAAATAGTTTGTGAGGATGAGAACCTCTGAAAAGCCTCTTGTGATGGGAAAGAGTAAGGAAATTCTGAATGACTCAGTCAGTATGACTTCCTGTTGTTCACACATTTGGCTGTGAGAGATGTCTAGTGTTCTATGATGATCAGAATTTTGAACTGATTTCTTTTCTTTCCTTTTTTTTTTTTACCAGGTTTCACCAAAACTCATGCCAATGAAGCAAATTGTGACTTGAGATGTGGACTAAATAGCATTTATTTTACTACACTGTGGTTTTGGATATTTTTCTAATCACACAGGAGTTAATTAAAAGGAAAGGAAATCCATGTCTGTATCACATTTATATTTTTTCCTAAGGACTATGCACCTAGTTTTTTTGTTGCATCTCAGGTTCTCTTTATAGCTCTATAAACTTCTGGTCTCTGTCAGTGACATCACATCTTAATAAAAAGATATGTAAGGTTTTCTTGTAAGAATAAATGTTGACTGAACAAACTGTCTTCTACAAGTGGTGCTCACAGTAAATGTTGCCTTCTGGTTCTGTTGTGTTTATGTTCATTTATATGTAATTATGCTAAGAAGATGGTCATGTACCAAGAATTTTGTCAAAGTGCTTTCCTTCATAATTGAAATGAGACAAAATGTCACCATCCAGAGTAAAAGTGAGGTTTGATTTAACAGATGGTATTGGCAAAATTAAATGGAATTTTGTATAGAATATCCTTAACATCTTTTAAACACGAATGATGACTTTTTGTTTTATAACTCTTCCCCCTACTTCTATACTACATAATTTTTACCTTGTGTCCGTAACACGCAAGTCCACCTGGAAAGTCACCACCTCCTTTCCAGGGAACACATTTTTTTCTTCTTCACAATTAGCTAGACAGGTGTTCCCAGTCCTTTAAAAAGGAGTGCAAGAATTTTATAAAGGAAAAGGTGAATTTATATTGGAGAAACTAATGCATAGTGATGTCTTATAGGTAGGACTGTTGAGTAGGCTGTTGTAGGGTATTTCTACCTATCAAAATCAATTTGTGCCTGAAAATAGACTACAGTTGTTCCAGGAAACTAATCCACTTAGAGGTCTCCTGATCATAAACATTAAAGCATTCATACATTGTTGCCCTTCTGACTTGTTTATGGAGACATCCTACTGAAGCCAACAGGCATGATGAGCCAGAAAAAAAGTGTGTTTAAATTATAATTGCTGTCTTACATGTTAGGAGGTAAAAATGAAAGGGTCTCTTTTTTCTAACATCTCTGTCACTTATACTCAAGAGCAGACCTGAAATATTAAACTACTTGTTCCATTGTGAAATCCAACTTTATTGCCATGGATGCTCCCTAAAAATACTTTTATTTCAGCCTTGAAGAAACTATCCCACTTGAATAGAGAACACTGAGAATCCCCAGTAATTGAAGCCATCCAGTGCATTTTTAGTTTGGTGTATCCTGTGTGTTTAGTTTTATTCAGTACTCTGAACGTGACCTCAGTGCTAGAGCCACCAGCCATAGAATATCTGGTGGTGCAGGAAGACTCATCATCCTGAATTCAAATATGGCCTAAGACACTTAGTAGCTGTGTGACTCTGGGCAAGTCACTTAACAGAGTTAAGTTTCCTCATCTCTAAATTGAGTTAGAGAAGGAAATGGCAAACCACTCCAGTATCTTTGCCAAGAAAACCCCAAATGGGGTCATGAGAGACTGAAAATGACTGAACAACAACAAAGAAGCATCTTGGATATTAGACTCTCTAGGAGTTATGAATCAGGAAGAACAGCATAGGATTCTTGAGCTTTTGGACCAAAAACAGTTACAGCATATTGTGACGTTCATTATTGCCTTGCTCTAAGTATTGGACTTGCCAACATTCTTCCTAGAGATGATGAGAAACTTTAAGGAGTTTATTATAGAGGAAAGGATCTGGAACCTCTATATTGATCTATGTTACTAAGTAGAGGTTGAATCTTTATATGAAACATGCATATATGTACATATATATTCCATATAACTATGTGATTCCATATATAGACTGCCTACCTAACAAAGATTTAGAGCTTAAGATGTTATCTAGTATAACCCTTTTATTTCGTAGATGAAGAAACAATCCCAGAGAAGTCACTTGCCCAAGGTCACACTGGAAGTAAGTTTTGAAGTTGAGCTGAATTCAGGACCCCTTCAGACTTGTCCTTGTGTTTACGCTGTACCCTGCTATCTCCCAGGTTCAATAGCAAATCTTTCTGATAACTAGAAAAAACAGATTTTTCCAAGATTGTAGAGGGCCTTTAGAGGCAGATCTGTAGTGATCACTCAGTATTGGAATTGGCTATTTCATTGTATTAGCTTGACTTTTTTTTTTATCAGTTTAGTTTGCCATGATAAGGTAATTCTGACACTCCTTGACTGACTTGTTAGACCTAATATTTAAGATATTTTCATGCTATATAGCTCACATATGGTAAGGCAGTTAAATAGTGCTGTAAACACTGAAAGGTGATAGACATATTTATGAAAGAATGGAATGTTTCTTTCCTTATATGGACATTATATGGCCAAGTCTTGGGACTAGCCCAAGAAAGAAAATATTTCTGCCCAAATGAAAGATACCAAGTAGGAACGACCATTGCTTAGAAATAAAGGTTTTCCGTGCATAACCTGTGTCAAAGTTGCTTGCCTTCTTAATGAGAGTTGTTGGTGGGAAGGGAGGAAGGGAGAAAATTTGGAACCCAAAGTTTTAAAAACATATGTTAAAAAATTGTTTTCACACGCAACTGGGAAATAAGATATACAGGCAATGGGGGTATAAAAATCTATCCTGCCCTACAGGAAAATTGAAGGTTTAGTGGATAAGAGAAGAGGGAGGAGAAAGAAGGGAGGGCAGATTAGGGAAAGGGGTATTCAGAATGCATGCCATCTTGGAGTGGGGGAGAAAATTTGGAACTCAAAATCTTGTGGAAGTGAATACTGAAAGCTAAAAATAAACAAAAAATTAAAAAAACCCAAAGTATTCCTCCCCAAACCCTTCCCTCTTCCAAACTTCTGTTACTAGACTCAGACTCACACCCTACCACCCTCAGTTTCTCACACTTCCCTGTCTCTCTGCATGCCCCTCCTGCCACAAGTCTCTCCCCACTCCATGCCATCTCAAACCAGTCTTCCTAAGCACTGCTCTCACCATGTCAGCCTGCTACATAACAAACTCGAGGGGCTCCCTACCACCTCCAAATTCCAAATCCTCTGTGTGGCATTCACAGCCCTTTATCACTTAATCCCCGTCTATGTTTCTAATCTTCTTACATCTCTCCCCACTACTCTTCAATACCAAAAAAAAAAAGGGGGGGAGGTTTGGGTCATATTATCACCTCACATAAAGTTTTGCTTTATCTCTATCTAAGAGAAGGGGTTGTCCTTTGTGGAGTGGGGTTGACCTTCTATCCACATATATCCTGTAGTCTCATCTCTGTTAAAAGTCATTCATGTTGTCTGTGTTAACGACTAAACTTGGCAAAAACATATGTGTATTTCATGCTTGTTTTTTCCCCTAAGAATTTTCCATTTGTAATTCATTCAATTTCCTGGTACCATATTGAGCTAGAAATACTTTATTCATTTTTGAACTTTACACATATTATAAAAGGTTGCAAGATTAGACTCTTACGTGCAATGCACAAAGAATATGAGAAGGCTACTGTTAATTTCTTGAAGATAATTCCTGTTTAGTTTGTCTAGCAGCATGGAATCTTACTGGGCCAGGATAGTTGTGGGGGCATTGGGAGAGATGCTTTTCCATCATTCCTCTTTCCTTCCAACCTGAGTGTATGCAGTGCAAATTTCAGGAAAGTCATTTCTTGTCAAAGTGCAAGCTGTCATTTTGCTTTCACAAGCCCATTCTCTAGCTACTGGGACAAAAAATGGAAAGGATGAATCAGTCCTGGTGTTCCACATTTTGAAGAGCATGGGCAGATTTGGATGTGAATGAACAAGTAGAGTATTCTGAATAGGACAAGTTGTAGATTGACTCACTTGGAGTGCTGCTCTATATCGCCAGTGTAGCACCCCATGTCAGTCCTGTCAAAATGTCTGCCATATAGCGATCATGAAAATAAGATAGTTTAAATTCTGATCAAGTTGGCATAGTGGTTAGAGAGCTGAACTTGGAGTCAGCAAGACCTTAAATGAAGTCTTGTCTCTGACATAAATTGACTGTGTGACCCTGGGTGAGTCACTGAATTTTTCAGAATTTTGGTAACTCTAAGGCTAAGAAGAACCAAGAAGCTGCCAAAGTGCAAGGATTTGCTGAGAGTTCCTTAAACCAATAAATTATATGTTCATTCCCTGTCTATTAGTCCTAAGAGATCATTTCTTTAAAATCTTATCTGCTATTACAAATAATGGGCCAGCTAGGTGGTGCAATGGATAGAGTGCTGGGCCTGGAGTCAGGAAGACTCATCTTGCTGTGTTCAGATCTGGCCTCAGACACTTACTAGCTGTGTGATCCTGGGAAAATCACTTTTAAACCTGTTTCCTTCAGTTCGTCATCTGTAAAATAAGCTAGAAAAGGAAACGGCAAACTACTCTAGTAGCCTTGCCAAGAAAATGCCACATGGGGTCAAGAAGAGTTGGACGTGACTGAAACAACTCAAATAATTACAAATAACTCATAGGATCACAAATTTAGAGCTAAAAGGGACCTTGAATTTATCTAGTTCAATCTTCCTTTGCATTAGAGAAAATGGGTTCAGAGATTATGGTTTCCTCAAAGTACACAGATGATAATTAGCAGAATTAGGATCTGAATGTAGGTCTTCTGACTCCAAATAAAGCATTCTTTCCATCCTCCCATACTGGAAGAGATCTTGGGGACCACGTAGTTCAACAACTCATTTTCCAGATGAAGAAATGGCCCCAAAATGGGAAATGGCTTAGGATTATATGTTTGGAAATGGAGGGGACCTTGGCAGTTGGACTAACATCCCACCTGCCATGAGGTCACACTACTGATACTGGGTACACCAGGAATTGAACCCATGTCCTCAACCCCAAATCTACTATTCATTGATCTGCCATGTTTTACTTTACTTTTTTCATCTCGCATCTCTCTGGACAAATGTGTGCCCCACTCAGATGTCTTCAGGTAGTTTTCTTGCCTTTATCTTTGCTTGAAGAAGGCTTTCCTGGCTGTGTGGCCCTTGTCCTCAATCTCAGGTCCTCATGGATCATTTAATTCAATACCTGAACAGCAGAAATCTTTTGTATAGTAGCTTTGATAAATGGTTATTCAGGCACTGCTTGAAAATCTGCAAAGATAGGGCACTCAATAGC